TTATCAAGACGTGTCGCGGTGTAATAGTGGGCCGCTCGGTGGGGTGGGCCGCTCGGTGGTGAAACACGTTATATCTATATACTAAAAAGTTTAATCTCTATTATATTAAATAACTAGTAATGTACCTTACGGGTTCGCCGGCTATACGAGTTCCCCGGCTATACGAGTTCGCCGGCTACTTTTGCTAAGATCTCACTAAAACTGCTATATTATGACCTAAAATAGCCTACTTCAAACCTATATAGCGCGAAAATATATATAATATTATTCTTAGTCTACTTCTAGTATCTACTTATACGTTTGCGCGTTAAACTCTATTCTATTATACTATCTATATAACGATATTATAGCCTTACTAAGTATTAGACCCGTCCCGGAGCTAGGTCGGAGCAAACATCCGCCGCCCCCTTTAGTAGTTATTATTCTTAAGTCGGATCTGACTCGGATCCGACTAAGGATAGATATTTATTAAGACACCTTCTATAGCTAACTCTATAGACTTTTAATATTCTTTCATATTAGGCCTATAGGTATCTAATTGATTAAGGCTGATTTAATATCTTACGCACTTCTATACGCCTCTAAGTAACACTTCTACTAATACTAATCTAAGCCGTCTTACCTACGCCGTTATTTTATATTAAAAGTCTTATCTTAGCTAGTAATAGCTACTAAATAATATTATAGCTTATTTATCCAAGATTATGCTTAAGCCCTAAGTCTCTCTAGAACTAACCTAGATTTACACTATAAGGTCCTAAAATTACCTAGACAGAATTCTATTAATCTTCTACTAGCTAAAGCCTTTAGGTTTAGAACTTCTATACTCCTCGCGAGGTAGATTACTTTAGTAAAAGTTACGTAGAGTGCGCTAAGGTAGAGACTTAGAGACTACTAATAATCTATTAACCTTAGAGATAACTACTAATAGTTAACCTACTAAAACCTAGTAGTTCTAAGAAACTACTCTAGAAATTAGTCTAACTATAGAACGAAACCGTCTTAGAGAAGAAAGCTAGTAAGTAGCTAGTCTAGAAATTATAAGAGACTTTACTACTATAAGATAAAGATAAAGATAAGTCTAATTTAGTACTAGTATTAACTATAAGAGACCTCTATAGATAGATAGCTAGCCTAGTAGACTAAGTATACTAGCTAACTTAAGAAAACGTCAAGCTTTAGAGGAACGTAGTTCTTACTTCTAAATCTCTACTAATAATAACTAAACTATCTTATAATCAATTACTAAGATATACTTCTACTACTTCTAAGTCTCTATATATTAAACTTAGTAAGGGTACACCTATAATAGAAAACTTAAGTGATAGTATAGACTCTACTTTCTAATGATATTAAGCTTTAATAGCAGATTAACTAAAAATTAACTTGGATTACTAACAGAGTAAGTAAGTAATAATAGTACTAGCATAAGATTATACTACTAATATTATAAAGAGATATCTAAAACTTTAGTATCTATCTAATTTTAATAAGTATTAGTTCTAAAATATAGAGAAAATAATTATAATACTTAAATTACACTTTAGATCTAGTAATAAGCAAATAGAACGTTATAACGTGGTTTATAAGCGGGTAGCTTACCTAAGCAAGTAGCTTACTCCCTACTAGCGCGCTAACCTCGTAATATTATTATAGCTATTTAATATAGTATATTAAAAATCGTAATAAGCTAATTTACTCTTTAGATCTATCGCTATTACTAGTACTATTAATTTCTACTATACAGGTGCGCGCGTTGTACCTAGTATTATTATAACGCCCGTACCGCCTCTCTACTCACACTCTCTTTAACGCGCTCTTACTATTACTATAACTACTATCTGCCTATTTAGCTAATAAGTTCTATATTTCGCTAGTAGTAAGAGTCTCCTCTATCTATACATATCGCCGCTTATAGCTCTTATACTTATCTAATTTATCTAGAGCTACTTAAAGAGTACTTATTTTCTCTATTATAAGCGTTATCTTATATACTATTTACTTAGCCCCCTTAACTACGCGATCTACTTAGTAAGTAAATTAGTAAAAGTGTTACACGGGGTTCGGGTCTATACTTCTCTTGCCGGGTCCCACACTAAGGCCGGTGAGCTTTACGTTAGTGTTCCGTGAGGTTGTCTGGC